ACCCCCCCGGAAGGAGAGGAGTCCGCAGCCAGGCCTCCAAGTGCCGGCGCCAGATGCCAGGCGGGCTCCCCTCTCGGCCTCTGAAGCAAAGGCAAACCTCAGGCAGGGAGGGAGGGCCGGCAGGAATAGAAAACCCTTGACAGAAACCCTTTTAATAAAGGAAATTCCACCCCCTCCCAATCCTTCCATGGAAGGGTGAGACCTTAATGTCACGGAAGAGGAAGCGTCCTCTCTGGCGTCTAGGGGAAGAGCTGCAGTTGAAACTTCGGGGCCCACTCCAGGGCGCTCTTCACTACGGCCAGGGCGGCCGCTCCGAGCGCCACCGTCAGCCCCATCACCGCCAGTTTCACAAAGTGGTTGGTCCTTGGTTTGGTCAGGACGTCTTTCGTTCGCTCCTCAGGCCGCAGAAGGCCCCGAAACCGCTGCCGCAGCACCGTGTCAGGCCTCTGCTGGGCCGACGCCAGCTCGAAGTCTTTGAAGGTAGAGGCTGCCGTCCTGCAGAGGGAAGGAGACGGAAAGAACGAGATGGCTCGAAAGAAGACAAGGAAAGAAAAACTGGATTATGAAAGAGGCTGAGGGCAGAGCCACCCACTGCTTCGAAGGCTCTTCTTGATAAAGACTCACGAAGACCAAAGTGGGGTTCCTGCTGGCGTAAGCTTATATCTCTAGAAACACGGCCCAGCCCTGTCCCCAGCAGACACGGTCTTCACCGCTCCTGCTCATGTACGAACACCCCCGGTTCAACCGGAGCCTTGGCCTCACTCACTTCTCGGCCTGCTGCTGGGCAGCTGCATCCAGAGCCAGCTTGGACGGGGGAAACTGAACGAACAGGTCTCCGGCTCTACTGATCAGTGTCTCGTAGGGCAGGTCCTGAGGGATCTGGGACAACAGGTGGTGGACCGAGGCCATGTCGCAGTCGCAATCCAGGACCTCCTGCTCTCGATGCAACACAATCTGTGGGGAGCAAGGCCTTGCGTCAGAGACCAGAACATACGGGGCGTTCGCCACTGGCACATCATTCTCCTTAGCGATGAATTTAAATTGGTGACAGAGTGGGCTGGCCCTGCACCTTCAACAAAGTCTCGTGTCCATCTAGGAAGCAATAACGCACGTATCTGAGTGCTTTTCCCGGTGAGCTCATCTTTCCTACAACCGGCAAACTCCCACCCCAGGATGTGGAAGGCTGACCAATAAAATGAGCGAGGTTCTTTCGGGGGGAAGAAGAGGAAAGGGGTATCGGGGAGGTCTCTGGAGCTCTAACACGGAAGAAATGGATCAAAGCAGTAGAAAGAACAGGCTTGCTCCCCTCCCCAAAACAGCGAAGGGTTCCCGTGTGCTCCCACTTCCACTCTGACCTCCACGATCCAGGCCCTCCTAACTGGAGCCCCCACCAAGCCACGTCAGTGTCCTCTCGTCATACTGCACCTCGCCTCTTCCCGAGTCTGGAGCTGCGGTCTATACCACTTCTGGAAGACGTCAACAGGAACACTGACCATCCCTAACGCACGCGAGCGTTTTAAAGGTTCAGAGGAGACATGCGGTCAACAGACTGGTTTCACTTGGTCCAACCAAGCATTTATCAAGCCTATTTTACACAGAACCTTCGTTTCCCATGACAGTCCCATTAACAATGCATGGAACGGTGTCCAGGGACGTCAGTCTGGGAAATGCTGTTTTTCCCATCTTTCCCTCATCACCAGGTCTCCCTTGAGGGAAAATGATCATGGATGGTGAACCTAGTTGCCGGCTCACGGCCTGTACTTACCACGGCTGCAAAGTAAATGGGCATCAGCGGGTGGCAGGCGAGGAAGAAGTCGTATAACCGCACAACGTGCCTGAAGTCAGACAGGACATGCCCAAACCAGGTGATGAGCCAGCTGAGGGCAAAGATGGTTCCCACCTCGGCACTAGGGGCAAGGAAATCCAGATGTTAGGTTCCCTGCTGGGCTGTCCCTTCCCACTGTCGGGGGTGTCTTTGTCCTCTGCGCTTATGAGAAGAATGTGAGAAAGATACTCTCTGGAAAATTCAGCCACCGAGGAATTCAGCGTCTTCTCACAAAATACAAAGTCCTTAAAACATACCCACCCTCATGACACTAATACTATGATAGGGTCCTGGTTGCCTTATCTCACTGGCTGTTTTCTTAATGGCCAAAAAATGTCATACAGGAAGAAGTAGCTGTTTTCACAATGTACCATCATTTTCCTTCTGAGAAAGTCATATATCCATCTGGGGGCACAGGCAATATATATATTCTCAGGCTTAAAGACATAATTGTATTAACTGTTCAGTTAAGAGATCACTGAAACACCTTAAGACACAGATACTATTTAAAAAAAAAAAAAGGGTGAGGTGCCGGTCAAAGACACATTGCCAATTACACAGAAGAGAAAAAAGTCCCGTGAGATTTGCAAAGAAATATTTCTTCTCCTTGGTATCTGGTGAGTAAAACAACCCACAGCTGACTTTGTCTTTCATGCCTGGGCATCCCACAGTAGTTATGTACTTCTCTGGTGGCAGTAACCTCAGAGTCTACCTCGGCACGCGGACCTCACCGACCTCTCCTCACCAGATGTAAAGTCCTCAAGGGCCTGTGCTGTGACATCTCTTGTATCCCCACAGGAGCATGGTACCCCCCAAATGCTCCCAGACTGTACAGAACTGGATTATCCAGGTTGCTGGCAGACAGAAAGGACGACCTGGAAGAACTTAACGCTCATCAACATACGATGATGGGGACACCGAGCCAGACTCACGGGGGAGACACACAGGCCAGGAGAAAGCCCAAGGGGTGTGTCTGTGCATGCACGGAGGGGCGTATATACCTCTGCATGAAGTCGTGAAGCTCTGGATTCACCTGGTCGATGATGGGCATCAGACAGTTTAATATGTGCTTGGTGTTGTCCATTGTGGGGTCCATGAAATCCCTAGAGGGAGACAATGCACTGAGCTCGGTCCGACCGGACACCCGGATCCGGGCTGAGGGGGCAGAACGGGGCTCCCACGCTGAAAACAATGAGCGGACACTGGGCCGAGGAGTTCTCCCTGGGGGCGGGGGGGGGGGGCTCGAGCAGCGATCGCCTTCCTCCTCTGTTCCTCTGCACCAGTACCTGAGGTGGTGGGTGGACAATTTTTCTACCAGAGATGTCGCCAGCCCCTCGCCGACCACCAGCAGAAACGTGACCACGATGTCATGGTAGCCCTGATAGTAGTGCAGCTGGGGGTTGCGCTCCAAGATGAGCAGGATGATGTCGATCAGCTCCTCCTGCAGCCCCTCCCTCTGTTCCTCTGGCATGCCTGCGGAGGGGGGAGGGGAGATGCACTTGAACACAGCAAGCAGCCTGGTAACCAGGAGGTTAGGACGGGCAGCAAAGGAGTTCCAAAGCGTTTAATTAAAAACAAAAACAAAAACAAAAAACCGAATTAGGAACAATTGGGCAACACGCTGGAATCCACACACCATCGATACCACCTGGCACACGGGAAAGAGCCAGAGAGCAGCCACCTCACGGCGGGTGAGCCCACAGACACCTTCCTAACCAGGTCCCCGCAGTGGACACTGCCAGGGGTGTGGCTATGTGACGGCACGAGCCTCCTGATGTGCGCGCCGAGAACACAGGATCGCTTCCGTGGAATTCCCATCGAGAGCGCATAAACCTGGGGTGCCCGGGGGCTCAGTCGACTGAGCGTCCGACTGGCTCGGGCCAGGATCTCAGGGCACGGGAGTTGGAGCCCCGCATCGGGCTCTGCGCCGACAGCTCGGAGCCTGGAGCCGCCTTCGGATTCTGTGTCTCCCTCTCTGTCCACCCCTCCCTCACTTGTGCTCTCTCTCAAAAATAAATAAACAACAACAAAAAAAGCACATAAACCTGAATCTAATCATAAGGAAATACTAGACAAGCCCAAACCAAGGGAAATTTTACAAAAATAACTGAGTCATAAAACACAAAGGAACTATTCCAGGTTAAAGAAGGCTAAAGAGAAACAATGACTAAATGGGAAATGAATGCATCTGTATCTCCTTTTCCTGTAAAGGACATTATTGCAGTAAACGGTGAGACCTGAATAAAATATACACGAGAAGCAGTATTTTTCAGTGTGTTACTGATTTTAATAAGTGCACTGTGATTATGTAAGGGCCTTGTTTTAGGAACCACACCTTGAAATATTTAGGGGTAAAGGGGCAGCAGGTCTGTAATTTATTCCTAAATAGTTCAGAAAAAAAAAGTGTGTGTGTGTGTGTAAGAAAGACACAAAGCCATATGAAAACGGATATAGTAAAATGCTAACATATAAGGAAATCTGGGTAAAAGTTATCTGAGGAATCATTTGTCTTATTTTTGCAACTTTTCTATAGATATGAAACTACATACAAATAAAAAATTTAAGAATTGTGTGTTCCCCTTTAAGCCAACCTAAGCATCACAGGAATCTAACCTTTTTTCTTTTTAAAATTTTTTTTAATGTTTATTTATTTTTGAGACAGAGAGAGACAGAGCATGAATGGGGGAGGGGCAGAGAGAGAGAGGGAGACACAGAATCCGAAGCAGGCTCCAGGCTCCCAGCTGTCAGCACAGAGCCTGACACGGGGCTTGAACTCACAGACCATGAAATCATGACCTGAGCTGAAGTCAGACGCTCAACCGACTGAACCACCCAGGCGCCCCCCTGCCCTTTTTTTTAAGTTTATTTTTGAGAGAGAGAGAGAGAGCACGAACGCATGCATGTGAGGCAGGGAGAGTTAGAGAGAGGGGGAGAAAATCCCAAGCAGGCTCTGCACTGTCGGCACAGAGCCCGACACAGGGCTGGAACTCCTGAACCGTGAGATCATGACCTGAGCTGAAATCAAGAATCACGACACCTGACCAACTTAGCCACCCAGGCACTCCCCCAGGACTGTATCTTGATCTAAGAGATTCCAGAAACGGGGGCGCCTGCCTCAGGAGATAGCGCAGATAACGCAGCTGGTTCTGGCAGTGGTCAGTGTGGCTCCTCTGCTCATGTGACTTTTATTTTTTTATTTTTCGGAAGTTTGTTTATTTATTTTGAGAGAGAGAGAGAGAGCTTGCATGAGTTGGGGAGGGGCAGAGAAGGAGGGGGGAGGAGAGAGAATCCCCAAGCAGGCTCCCTGCTGTTAGCTCAGAGTCTGAGTCGGGGCTCAAGAACCATGAGATTGTGACCACAGCCGAAACCAAGAGTCAGACCTTTAACCAACTGAGCCACCCAGGCGCCTCTCATGTGGCTTTTAGTATGAAAATGCCAAAAAAAGCGTCTGGGTAGCAGGGTCGGTTAAGCCTCCAATTTCAGCTCAGGTCATGATCTCGCGGTTCGTAATTTCGAGCCTTGCGTGGGGCTCTGTGCTAACAGCTCAGAGCCTGGAGCCTGCTTCTGGGTCTCCCTCTCTCTCTGCCCCTCTCCTGCTTGCTCTCTCTCTCTTGCTCTCTCTCTCAAAAATAAACATTAAAAAAAATTAAAAAAAAAAATAAAAAAAAGGAAAGAAAGAAAGAGAGAGAGAGAAAGGAAGAAAGAAGGAAACTGCCAAAACGTGGCCTTGTGAGCTGCTTTGGAGGAGTGGCCCCAGCACTGCTCTCCCACACCATTAGCCCTTCCAGTTATGACAGACATTGAGAGAAAACAGTTCATGGAAGCGCCCAAACGACCCTGAACAAAGGGTTTAAGGTAAAAGCAAATTCATCTGTTGCTCGTGTTTACACCACCTCTTCTCAAAAGAGGCATACTGTAAAAGATAAGCCAAAAAGAAAATGGAGCAGACCAGCTACAATGGTTAGGGAAAGTAATCAAGGCGGAGAGACTAACCTAAACTCTGAAGTTTCAGAGTAAGAGAGGTCGGCTAAGCTCAGAACACGGATGCGAGAAGAATATGAAAGCACGTGGAAAGGTCAGCCCATACAAAGAGCCTCACGCACCATCGGTCCACAAACGGAAGCAGCAGAAAGGGTTCCAAGGAAAAGATTAGCTGGGGGGAAATGGGGCCTTGGCCCGTGCGGTCTGATGTGGACTTGTAGCCCAGGGAAAGGGGACTGGGCCACGGGCACACGTTCTTAAAAGCTACCGGCCACACAGGGATGGCGAGTGTCACTGTCTTGGAGCAAGGCTGCAAGCGGCGAAGAAGGCGCTTTAATGGGCAAAATCTGAGCCAGAGCACGGTTTTGGAAGAGGGAGGCAATGGGTTTAGAGGCTCTCGTCCCCTGCAGCAATTCTCCTTCCTCCCCGGACCTACGCAAAGGCGAGGCTGCCAGAGGGAGAGGACGGGATCAGAAGCACAAGGTCTGTCGCCCAGCTTCCTCTGTTGCGAAGACAGAGACCAGAGCCGGCCACCGTTCTCCTTCTCCCCAGCGTGGGAAGCAGTTTCTCAAACAGCCCCTTTAACCACGCAGGGAATGGCCTCCCTTCCAGTCCAGGGACCCAACAGAGGCATGTGGGAGAAATCCCTACTTAGAAATCCAATCGGATGAAGGTATGCCTGGCTCTTGTTAGCGCCCACTGGTCAGCCAAGCTGCTCTTTAAAGCCAGACAATGGCTACAGCGGTCCCTACGGAGTCTCTCCCGTGGCTCTGAAGGGGGAAAAACCCCTAGGGTTTTCATCCACCACCTCTAGGCCAAGAGAAAGGACTTCTGGCTCAGACTTTGGCAGTGCGGGGTCTGAAGGTGACCCAGTCGTGAGTACAAGGTCCCCGACCGGGTCCCGCTGGGTGCAGTTGGGGCGGGAGCTCCTGGGGCGGCAAGACCGAGGGAGCACTTGCTTCTCACCGGGCGGGAAGCGCCGTAAGGACCGGCGGACGTCCAGCAGCACTTGCTGGTAGTCCTTGCTCACCTGCCGCAGGTCCTTCCCTGTGGGAGGAAAAGGAACGCGTTACCGCAGCAAAGTCTGAGAAGCCGGAGCAGGGACAAGAACATTCTGCTATGGCACCAAAGGCCGGGAGGGCACACTTAAGCTTCTTCCTCAAGAGGACATATGACACAAGAGACAACATGGGGAGAGGAACCCCCAGGTTAGCTCCAAACCCGCCGTTTCATTCAAGCTAAAGTGACTGTAAGCGGAGGGACACGGACTGCCCAGGAGGCAACCCTGAGACAGAAGGAGCAGTGCACGAGGAGTCAGGAGGCCAGGGGCCTATTGGAGGCTGCTACCGTGTATCACCAGGGGACGGCCCTGAACTTCAAGGTCCACGTCTGTAAAATGGGGATATTTCCTTCCATATGCACCTCTCAGGTCACTGCAAGGATCAGTTGAGATCGTGGATGGGGAAACCACAGACTGCTGGAGAAACTCAAACATCTGTACAGCCTAGGGAGCACTGAGCTGCTCAGAAAGGAGTATTAAGATAAACGCACACAAAGAAGTACCTCACCTCTCTTGACCCTGAAATTCTAGGACTGGGTGCAAACAGGAGCGGGTACTTGTGTTCAGCTGCCAATCCAACACTGAAAATACTGCGGCAGCCTCTAGCTGCTGTATATACGCAGCAAGCACACACTTTCCTCAACCGAACCGAGTGTTCTGTAACAAGTGCGCATTTCCATCACAACTACAACCGAAAGCTACCGAGGAGCAGGTGTAACACATCCCCACATACAGACTTCATCTTATAAAGCTCTGGGAAGTTTGCGATCTGAGAGAAGGACTTCATCTCAGGAGTTAAGAGTGTGAATACGGTGATGTCTCTTCCTTCCAACCCACAGCTGACTGCTCCGAGGCAGCCGGTTTCAAAGAGACTAACAAGAGGCGACTTAACACCCACTCGGCTGCAGTGTGCACCGTGACACTGTGAGCTTTTGATCAGCAGAGGCTGTTTTAATCATCTCTAGTACCTGGCACACAACAGGACCACAAGGACCACCTGCCAAATGAGTGGAAGAATCTCCAGCACCTGGACTTCTGCTATACACGGCAGGAAAGCCACCAGTGTTGAATGAATGAATGACAAAGGGGATTCTTTATTTCACAGTACTTTCTTCGTAGGTTGTGCTATATTCCAAGAAACTCCTTCGACTGCATGGGCCTTGCAAACTAGTTAAGGAACAGCTTTTCATACAGTTACAGAATTTGAGCTTTCAAAAGAATCTTAGTATTTCCCAACAAAAAAGTTTCGTTTGGCCTTGTTTTTCTTAAGGACCGGAGAAATATTCTCTCTCCCCATGGCCTAAAGTTTCTCAAAATGGAGTTCATTTGCACCAGAACCAGCTGGGATGCTTGTTAAAATACAGATTCCTACAACCCACCTCTAAGTGAACACAGACCAGAATATAAACTCCCCCACTTAGCCGATAAAAGCTACCTATCAACCTCGTAAAAGCTCACTCCATTTTTGAAGAAAAGTCTTATCAGTTTGGCCTTATTTTCAGAGTGGGCCCAATTTTTAGAGTGGGCCCTAAAATGGTTCAGATTTACTCATCTACACCTGGTTTAAAATGAGCATTAAGAATGAAAGATCCTGAAATTCTTTTGTCCTCACATCTTAGACAAGTTCCCCTCACAAACATTCCCCACCATTACCTGATATAGGAGGTGGGTCATTGGTATTGACATTGAGGAGCTTGGGCCACACTTTCTGCCTGATCTCATCAGTCAGGAGCCCTCCTTCACTGATAGCCATGCGTCTAAGGGCAGCCACATCAGTGGGATCACTGTTCAGAGCCTGGTAAATCTCTGCCACTTTCTTTTTCCTTTTGGCGGTGAAGTCTGCAAAACAAAGGGGAAAAAGGCATTAGGCACGTATTCAGCATGTGTACATTTTCTGCGCAGGGCTCAATCTCCTTATTTGATTTGGGGTACAGGTAGATATTCTTAAAGTCCACCTACAAACATGTAATTAGCACATAATGTGCAAAACACTAAGGAGATATACCATGTAAGTAACAAGCAAGGAATTACAATTACAGTAAGTGCTCATTAAACTCAGGCACATCTAACATTTACTGTTAATGTTTTAGGATAAGATAGAATAGGATAGTATAGTATAAGATAGGATAGGATAGGACAGAATAGAATACAATGCTTGTTCTTTCTTAATCCCAAACTTCACAGAACATATATATCTCTTTATACAATAATTTTTCCTGTTTATATGCATATCGCCAAAATTCAATACTGCATTTTAAAATAGAACCACGAGACAAAAATTTTCCAGTTACATGCTAATACAACTGGTAACATTTCAGAATTACACAGAGACATTTTCTTTCTTTCTTTTTTTTCCCTAAGTTTATTTAAGAGACAGAGAGAGCGAGTAGGGAATGGGCAGAGACAGGGGAAAGAGAGTGCCCCCAAGCACGTTCCACACTGTCAGCACAGAGCCCGATGTAGGGCTCGAGCTCACGAACCATGAGATCATGACCTGAGCTGAAACCAAGAGTCCAATGCTCAACCAATGGAGCCATGCAGGCGCCCCTTTCTTTTTTTTTTAAGCTCCACACTCAATAGGGGGCTTGAACTCATGACCCCGAGATCAAGAGTTGCACAGTTTATTAACTGAGCCAGACAGGAGACCCTACATATTTTCAAAAACAGATCAAAGGGTATACTTGGGTCTCCAGCGTGGCTGGTGATAAGACAGGCATGATAGTTGCACACAAAGCAACTGTTTCCTGATGACCATATTAAGTAAGGGTGATGTTCTAAGCATCTTACATCCCTATGTGATAGTTTATTTATACACTGGCATTTTACTGTGTTTAAATTCCTTTTTAGGAAATTGGCTGAGATTTGTGGTTGATGTGTATCATATTATAATTTTTCTATTGAAAATTATGTCGAGGGACACCTGGGTGGCTTAGTGGAAGCATCCGACTTGGGCTCAGGTCATGATCTCACGGTTCATGAGTTCAAGCCCCATGCTGGGCTCTCTGCTGTCAGCACAGAACCCACTTCATATCCTCTGTCTTTCTCTGCTCCTCCCCTGCTGGTGTGTTCTATCTCAAAAATAAATACATCAACTTAAAAATAAATACATCAACTTAAAAATAAATAAATAAATAAATAAGCCATCTCCTTAAAAGAAAAAAAAAAAAGGAAAAGAAAATAACGCAGAAAACATGCTTTCACAATGTAATGTGGAATGCCTAACTTTCGGAACTGCGAACTGCAAACGCAAGTTAAACAAGTCAATACCAAAGAGATGTTACAAAGCAGTGTACCATAATTGCCCCAAAAAAGGGATGTGCGGACACCAAGAGCTCAAAGAGACCGCTGTAGGTCAGGCTAACTTGAGAAGGCATTACCGGAGAGTGCAATTTCAAAAGGAAAGGGAGGATTTCAAGAGGCAGGGGGCAGGGTAGAGAGAAGAAAGGCCGAGAGATAAGAAACACAAGTCCCTTCCATCTAACGTAAATCGACTCCTTAAAAAATGTTTACGTACAAATACGAGGTGCAAGACACTACACTTAATGTAAGTGGAAGGTAACACTGGAAGGAAGTTTGGGCTTTAGAGAAGATGAACGCTGGAAGTCGGTTAGGCTTTAGAAGGGCCACAAAGCCGCTCTCTCTCAACTATAAACGTTAAAAAAAAAAAAAAGGCGGGGGGGGATGCCTGGGTGGCTTAGTCGGTTAGGCATCCAACTTCGGCTCAGGTCATGATCTCACAGCTCAAGAGTTCGAGCCCTGTGTCAGGCTCTGTGCTGACCGCAGGAGCCTGGAGTCTGCTTTGGATTCTGTCTCCCTCTCTCTCTAGCCCTCCTGGCTTGCGGCTTGCGTGCTCTCTCTAATATAAACATTTAAATAAAATAAAAATTAAAACAAAAAAAGAAGAGCCACAAAGCAACTTTCCTGAGTAGTAGTTTATTCTGAGACAACAGTCCACAAACTGTTTCCAGGACAAAGACGCACATTATTAACACCAATGAAAGGTGGTCCTGGTTACCTACCTACCACAGTTGTGACACACTAACCACATAAACAGGTATCACTGTACTGCGGTCACATGCAACCGGAGGTGCAGCTACAAATGCAACACAGGTGACTCTTCACCCGGGGGAACCCGTCCTCCTGGCTAGACTGTTATTTTCACCTAGTAGGATGACCGTCTGCTCCTGTTTGTCTGAGACATTCTTGGTTTGCGCCTAGAGTCCCAGTATAATCATCCACGTAAATCCCTCCTGCCAGCTGCACTCTCAGAAACGTCCCAGTTTGGATGCTCAGTTAAATGGTTACTCTACCTAGAAATCATGAAAAAACAAGTCCCAATGCCCTCTGTTAGCAGAGCACCTAGCTAGTCAGATGTTTGTTTATAAGGTGCTTCAAGTTCTTGGCTTGAGTGTGTGTCCGTCCGTCCGTCCGTCCTTCCCTCCTTCCTTCCTCCCTTCCGTCTCCCCAGCCACTCATTAGTCTATCCATCCATGTATCAGTCCATCACCTAATGAGCATCTACTGGTAGTTAAGCACCACACTGGGATAAAAAGATGAATATGACCCCTCAGCCTTTGAGAGGCTCACGTTGGGGAGGAACACAATTATGATAGAACAGAATCATGACGAATTATGAAAATCCAGAGGAAAGAATGCCTACTCCTGGGGCAATCAGGAAAGGCTTCAATGAAAATATATTCTGCCACCTTCTTAAAGCAAATTTTGCACATGGAAGACTGTGCTGGAGAGCATTCCAGGCAGAGGAAAGAGTACGTGCAAAGACCTTATCACATGAAAGAAACACCATGTCCAGAAAACACAGAGAGAGTCTGTGAGGCTCAAGTGTTAGGTAAAGAGAGAAAACAGAACCTGGGAGGACTGCAGGAAATGTGGGTCATAAATGAGTCTGGGTTTTATCCTGCACTCAAGAGGAAGACAAGGAAGGAATTTTAAACTACGGGTCAAAGGGCCATCCTTTGGAGGAGAAGACATGTAGACATGTGGAAGAAAAGAAGACTTTTTTTTTTTTTTTTAAGTTTATGTATTTACTTTGAGTGAGAGAGAGAGAGAGAGAGGCTGAACACACAAGCAGGGGAGGGGCAGAGAGAGGGGGAAGAGAGAATCCCAAGCAGGCTCTGCACCACCAGCACAGTGTCCAATTGGGGCTCAGACCCATGAACTGTGAGATCATGACCTGAGCCGAAGTCAAGAGCCAGACGCTTAACTGACTGAGCCACCCAGGAGCCCCAAGACTTTTTTTTTTAATGTTTATTTATTAAAAATTTTTTTTAAATATTTATTTATTTATTATCATTTTTTAATTTTTTTAACATTTATTTATTTTTGAGACAGAGAG